ACAGTCATCCACCCACAGGCCTGGGCAACTTCCTTGGCTGAACAAGGCTCTGGATCAAAGAAGGCTTTTTGGTGTAACAAAGGTGTATCAGAGGATCCGTCCTGCGCCGTTGGATGTCAAGTGTCTGGGCTGGCATCTGCAGGCACGTTGGAAATATTTCCAGGGGAACTCAGGGTTATCCAAATACTTGAGATTTCACCATATTTTCCTTCCCCTGTGAATAATACATTTGTATCTGTTTCCTAGAGAAAAAAAAATCCCCTTTTGTGAGTCACTGTTAAAAGCAGCACCATCCTGTCAGCCAGATCTGGTCTGTGGGGGGACCAAATACCTCCGACTTGTTTCACTTCAGCTGAAGGCAGCTGTCTCCTCTGGTATACCTCCCCCAAATATTTTAGTTTTTAATTAGCAGATGCAGAAAGTCCCAGCATGTGAAGTAAGTCACCTGAAGATGTGGACTCAGGTTCAGTGCCCACCACGTGTTGCTGTGGGCATGAGCCATTCCACAGATGGACCAGGCTGGAGCGGACTGACTGCCCACGTGGCCGTCAGCGCCGCGGAGGACCCCGCAACACCGTGGGATGCTGGAATGAGCCATCCTTTCACCAGAATCCACTGCCACAGGAGGCAGTGAAGTCAGACTGGAGGGGATCTCCCTGGCATCTGCCTGGGTGGCACTTCTGCTGTCCTCCTCAGCAGCGTGCAAGCCCCAGCCTTCATCCTCACCCCTCTGAAATGAGACATCGGCATCTCCACGTCTTCACGGACGGGATGACTGGAAGCTACAAAGCAGCTGTGAGGGCAGTTGTGGGGAGCAGAGGGTACAACAGGCGGGCTTGCTCGGTGTCCCGAGTGTCTCTGTGTTGACATGCACTCAGGGACGAGGAAGGCAGGTGATGGCGGGGGAAATCTTCAGCCACTTCTCTGAAAAGGCAGGCCCCAGGGAAAAGCCCGGCTTCTCGTCAGACGCAGGGGGCTGGGGGGAGCAGGTGAACCCAGCAAAGAGCAGAGGGGCAGCTCCGGAGGCCGTCTGACATCTGGAGGAAGAGAGACCCTGAGCAGAGGTAGCACCGGCTGCGCCGTGCCAGCGGGCCGCCCGCACACCAGCCATGAGACTTGCTCAGGTTGCTGGGCTTTCTCACGTGGGCGTTGCAAAGCAGCTGTTGGGCTGGGTAGCCCCCTCCATCTCCTTCCGTTGCCCAGACCGTCTCTGGCAGTGGCACACGTGCGGACGCCAGCCCCTTCCGCAAGCCCAGCCAACTCTCTCTCCCCCGCCCCAGGCCCCCCTGGGCTCTGGGCGACGCCATTTCGGTGCCTCACGGTGCCCGTCGGTGTGCCGGTGAGCTGTGTGGAATGACTTCTTCTTCTGAGCCTAAGCCAAAGGAGGGTTTTTCACCTGAAGGTCATGAATACGTCTCAGCTTCCTTTAGTGATTGCGCTTGGCTTGGAACCTCTCACTTGGCTTGGAACCTCTCGTCTGGGGGCATCTGTTTGCCTCTTACTTTATTTTTTCCCTCTTCTTTGTCTTTTCTTTTACAGAAAAGATTATTCAAATGAATATTCAGTTTTATTCATTTGAATAAAAAACCCAACTGTTTGACTCTGTTAAATGCTTATCTCTTAAATAGAGCTTGTTAGCTTCCAATAATAGCTTCATTCAGAAGGATACAGTATAATTTCATTTTAAAATGTGTGCTCCTTGACAACCGGAATCCTATTTATGTCACCATTTTAAGCAGCCTTCTTTGTTTTGTGTTAATCTTTTTCATACACTTTCCGAGAACCTTTTTTTGTTGACTCCTAGTACCTCTCAGAAGAAATAATTGTCTGTTTAGTCCAGGAAGGTTTCTGGGAGTTTTGGTAATTTAAAAAGGAGCGTGTATTCATTATGCTAACTAATAAGGCATGCATGCAGTAATATTTGTGTGTGTGTGCAATTATTAAAAGTTGGAATCTGATATTCAGAAAGTGAAACAAAAGAAGACCCATTACCGGTCATTTTATGAGTTCTTACGATCTCTTGGGGGTTGTTCATTTAAGGAGCAGTAGCATCTCTTGAATAACATCCTATGGATTTTAAGTGCCTGGATATGTGCAGGTTAAAATCCCCTGGTTGCTTTCCAATCAGTTAAAGATGTCAGTAAGCCTAAAGGTAAAGTACTGTGAGCCTTCAGCTACGGAGTGAGTGCCTGAACCTGCCAGCCCCTGGCCCGCTGGAGCTGCCCAGCCTGCCCGTCTGCCGGCTCCAGAGCGGAAGGAGTAAAAGATGGTATTGGGTTTTCTTATAGACCAAATCATGTCTTTTTTTTCTTGCCAAACCAGCTAGTCTGGCCTGTCCAAAGCAGCATAGATCTTTTAAAATTCTGCAAATGAATGTTGACACCTCTGGATTGTTATTTTACTCTTGTTATAAAATCTGTAAATACAGAAAGCTGGGTGGCTATCTGATTTAATCAGAGAAATAATTTCTTGATAAACCTGTGTTTAAGCCATATGGAGGAGGATGAGAATAGGAAACTTGTTTCTGAGTCCAAACGTGTAATGATTTCAGTGGGCTTTCTTGTGGTGTTATGCATATTACGGCTAATCTCCTCTAAATTCCCTCTCTCTCCTCCATCCTGGCAGCCAGACCTGACAAAAGTTGAAAGAGAAATCCTCAACTGCAGAACTCGCTAATGAGTTACTAATGATGAAGATGTTGCTGGTGCTTAAACTATTAATGACTTGCAGACCCAGACTGGCCATCTCATTGCACTGGAGGAAGCTGGTCCCAGCTCCAGTAACGGCCCGAGGCAGCGTGCTCTGGGATTCCTGGCATGCCACGCTCAGCCAGTTAACCACAAAAATTTTAGTTTTAACTGCAGGTTTGTTTAAGGCAGATTTAAATGAAGTAATTTAGGAGGCAAATGGGAGACTTAAGTAAAATGCTTCAAGCTTCTACATGCTCTAAGTGCAAAGTAAAATAATGTTGGGTTTGAGTGTGATGTGCTGTCGGATGATATCTTACTCCTTGAGGAAATCTAGAAATTACTTCAGGATTTTTTTCCTCCCAAGAAGAGGTCCACAGAGGGATGGGAGAATTCCCCATTCCTACCTCTAGTGTACATTCCCGAAGGAACCATCTGGGAGCTGCTTGGACCTCTCCTCGGCCAGTGCAAGAGATGTCAAATGCACATTACAGCTCCAAATATTGTAGCCTGCAAACTATAGGTTGCCAAAAACTCATGGAGTTTTAGTATTTCCTCCTGTGCCCTATCAAATCAAACCTAGCATGCTGTTAAAATTACAGAGCTTTGGGACCCCAGCACGGAGAGTGCCTGATGCTGGGTGCTGGCTGGGAGCGCAGGGGCTGGCAGGGGAAGCAGGTCGGGGGTGGCACTTGGGACCAGCAGGATGCGACCACTGCTGGAAGGGGAGCAGACCCAGCGCTGGAAGATGCTAATTGCAGACGGGAAGTGTTGGGAGCAAAATGGGTTTGAGATGGGGCTTCACCCCCATGTTTCCAGCTGGTTGCGATGGGCAGGGCAGGGTGGGATGGGCAGGGTGGGACAGACAGACACATGTCCAGTGGCAGATGGGAGCCAGCTCCTTCCAAGTCAGCAAGGACAAAATTGTTCTCCCATCGTGCAGGGTGGAGCAGAGGGATGATCACCAGGCAAAACTATTCACGGAAAATAAGGCTTGGCAGCTCTGGCTTCCCCTGCTTCTTCATTCCCCGTCGCTCAGCCAGGGCGGAGGGCTGCTGTGGGGATGCCCCAGCTCCAGCTCGGTTTTGGCTCACAGCCTGGTGTGATGAAGACGTCACGTGCCCTTTCACCAGCGTTGAGTCCACCAGAGTGGATTTTCAGTGCAGTTTGAGGCATGAAGTTCATCCTGTTGTTACCTTTCTAAGATTTCATTAAATTAATTGGTGTCGATGTTGACTCATTGAGCCTTTGCCAGAAGCCTAGTGCATTGGGTTGGTTTTTTGTTTGTTAGCTTGATTTTGGGTTTTTTTAAGGACTGAGCAGGGAACATCGCTGTGTATCGCTGTGGTGGGCTGCCGGAGTTCTTCAGTGCAGTGTGGCTGCAGCTGCATGGCCCCAGCACAGCGAATGCAGCGCACAGCTACGGGTGGGCAGCAGGCATCAAACAACCCTAAATCAGCCCAAATCCTGCTTTGAAGCAGCAGTGGCAAAGAGAGGGATGATTAGATCAGAGGCCTTAAACATAATGCTTTCTTGGAGGCTTCAGGATGTCCTGATGAGGTATTAGAGGAAGTTATTCAGGAAGAAGGGGACAAATAACCACCTCCGGAGCCTGGCTGACCTGTGGGGCCGGCTGCATCCGCACGGGACCGAGCTGCGGTGGCTGCACGCAGCAGCGAGGGCGTCTGCTGCTTGCTGAAAGCAAATGGGAACACAAAGTGCTGCTGCATGGTTGGAGAAGCCTTGGTATTTTTTCCCTCTCTAGGGCTAGTGAGGGGTAAATGAAGAATCATCTTCTGTCTTCCCCGATTTCTTTTTTTTTTTTGGGGTCATGTAATGAGTCAGCTCTAATGGAGAAGTCCCATGGAATTAAACAAGAGATAAAATCAATACGGTTCCATAGAAATATAATTGGGTTTTGTAGAGATTGGTCTTAAAAACCTATAAGGTGTAAAAGAAAATATGGTCTTATTGTAGCTTCTGAGCCATCATGTAACCAGGGTGTAACTATCCATTAAATTCTGCAGGATGGATCAAAAAATCCATAGGGAGGTTTTAATTCTCCATTAAATCCTATGGAAGAGCTGGAACAGAACCATATTAATTTTCCCTGAGACATTGCTTCTTCCCTCCCTTAGTCTATAATAAGTTCAGCAGCAGCTCCACAGACAGCAGGTGTATTTACACATGCATAGTTTTATGAAAGTTTTCCAAAGTCCCAATAGCTAAGCAGTGCTTTATTAAAATGAAATCCGTTTAACTTAAATAATATTTTCTTTTTCCCCTCCCCCTTTTTTTTTCTTTATTGAACAGGATTTGGCTTTGTAACTTTTGAAAACGAAGACGTGGTGGAAAAAGTCTGTGAAATTCATTTCCACGAAATCAATAATAAAATGGTAAGTTGGTTTTGTTGGGTGGCGCATGTCAGTGCCAGCGAGCTCTCGCTCTCGGTCACAGATGCGTGCCATGCCTGGGTGGTGGCCCTTTGGGACAACCTTCTGTGTGAGATGAGTTGGGCGGAGGTGTCGCTGACCCTTGGCCTTGCTTGGGCACTTCTCCTGTCCCCTCGCCGTCAGCATGGGTGTCTCTCCCCCCATGAGCAGAGGTGTTGTCTTCAGGCTCAGGCAGCTGCCCTGGAGCAGATTTTGATGTGGGAAGCCAAAGGGCTGGAGATAGTGTGGATCAACCTGCTCAGCCTGGAGCAGCCTTGGAGAAGCCCTCCTCCACCCCCTGCACTTGGGAAGAGCCGTGGCAGCTGCCGAAGTGCTGCGTTGGGGATTTTCAAGGGGGGGAAGTGGACTGGGGTAGCTGTTACAGGCCATCTGCTCCAAAAATAGCTGTTCTGGTCAAGCTCCCGGGCCCTGACGCTGCTGACGCCACTGCTGCCTGCTGTCCCCTGGGAAGTCATGGCGCTCTGCCATGAAGCTGCAAGCCTTTTCTACCCGGGCCCAACCCAGGAGCCAGACCTGGATGAAGTGTCTCCCAAATGACAGTCAGGTCCCAGGTTCTGAGTTGCCCTGTCAGTAAAGCCACTGAGCCAGATGAAAAAGGGCATTTGTATTTCAATTGATGCAGTAACTTTGATATTTTCAGCTAAAATATTCTTTTTCCCTTTGTCAAAACATCCTTTGCTTCTCAAATGTGTATTCAGATATGCATTGTATATCGGTCTGATATGTGTTCACAGACTTTAAATTCAATAATAGAGCTTTTAGTGTGGATAAGATCAAAGCAATCTCCTTGGCATATGCTGGAGGCCTGATTCAATATTTGACTTGCTAATTTTTCCCAGGGCACTGAAATAATACTCTTCATATTGTTCCTCACTGCAATATGCATCTGAAATAAAAAGCAAGGGTCCCCCTGGCAAGCCGAGTGGTGGGAGGGCAGGGCTGGGCTGGGGCAGCTCCCCTTGCCCAGTGGGAAGCTGCTGGCTCCAGCTGGGATGGGTGCCACAGGCTTTGCCTCTGCCCTGTCCAAGCATCTCACTGCTTCCGCATCCTCCTGCGTCTGGGGTTTCTTACCTGCCAGCAGCAGTACCTCGCCCGAGATACCTGCGTGTTGGGGGAGAGGCTTCTTCCCCTGTATAATTAATAAATCCTGATTCATCTGCCCTAAAACACAACAAAAAGAACAAACCCCAACCACCCCCACCCCAGCATCCAGACGACAGGCCCAGCAACAACCTAGAAACGCTTGGAATGTAAATTTGGGTAAGATTTGTCAGCTGAGGGGGAAGAGCCGCAGTGCTGCGCTATGGGATTTTCCTACAGCTTCATCGCGGGCGGGTGCGTGTCACGTCATGCTCCGGAGGTTTCATTATTTCACACAGTGGGCTTTTCTCTGGAGCAAGGCTCAGCCTTCGCCTGGCGCCCATCAGCGCTGCCCGGCGTTGCCCTGGATGTCGGCTGGAAGGAGCAGCAGGGTGGGGGCATGTCCCAGCAGGAGCGGAGCTGGCAGCGGGGCAGAGCGCATCATTGGATGCTTCCCAGCAGGATCTGCACGCCTGTGCCGTAAAAGCCTTAGCCAGCTGTTTACAGACCCCTGCTAGGGGAGGAGAGGTGGGAGAGTTGCTGGGAGGGTTTCTTCCCGGATGAAAGGCTGCACGGGAATGTAACAGCAGCGGAGGATGGGACAGGGCAAAAACGTTCAAGGAACATCACAAAGAGGAACAGAAACAGTGTAGGCTGTTGGTGTTTCCTTGGGGTGCATAATTAGAAGATACTCCTCCCGGCGCCCTGTGCCTGCTTGATGCACGATCCGTGTGCCACGACGCTTTGAGCATTCTCTTCTTGTCGCTTCTACAGCACTAATTTTAAAAGCAGCCCACAAGGGAGGAGATGAGACTTGATCCTGCCTTGGGACTGACTCATCGTGTTGCTGGTGTGCCTGTAGATTAAGTACCAAACCCGTGCAGGGGCAGGAGGGCTTGTGCCACGCGTGTGTGATGTTGAGTTGGTGCAGGTGGCCGGAGGTGACACGCGGCTGGCTGGGGGTCAGAGTTAGGCACATAGTTTCTGCAGCACCCTCGGAGACTGACCACTCCTGCTTCGTTTTTAACAGCTACCCCCGTAGCACTGAGCTGCGAAGGGGCCGGGTTCTCGCTGCCCCAGCTCGAAGCGATGGGGTTTGCAGCTGCTTGGGGAGCTGGGACAGGGACGCCCCATCCCCACCCCATCCCCCGGCTGCTCGGCTGGGGCATCCATGGCTCTGCGGGCACCCACTCGCCCTGAGCTAGCTCTTTCTCATCACCTGAATTCTGTCATTCCCCAAAACACGGGGGCAAGCACAGGGTAGCAGGGCTACCCTGTTGTTCACGAGCCTATTTCTAGCCTCCCTGGCAGGCTATTTTTAGCTCACCCATTCTGCTTCTGTTGCCATCCATAAAGCTTAGAATGTCAGATGTAATATTAAACGAGCAGTGTGAAAGTGAAAATGCCGGTGAGGTATCTAATAAATGAAACTTGGAATTTACGTGGGAGGCCAGAGATGCTTTTCAGACATTGTGGGGGGGAACAACTAAAACTCAAACAAGCTACTCCCAGAATATTGTTCCTCTGACAGGAGCAGGCTGCTTTGCAAAGAGAAACCTGTTTTTCTACGGGTGTGCAAAAGTAGCTGGAAATTAAATGCAGTGGAGTAATTTATTTTCTGCTACATCCCGCTGTGATAGCGTCGTTGACATCACAGATAGGCTGGGACAAGTGCTGGCGAGCGGTGTGCTGAGCTGAGCCTGGCCCAGGCACTCTGCACTGAAGTCAGGATCTCAAGTGAGACACTGGAGTGAGTGACAAAAATGTTCAGCTGTTTTAAAATAGGCTCTGACGTTGCATAGCACCTGTGGCTGGTTCTTCCTCCCATGGTGGGATTATGTGGTTTCTGTGGGGTTTTTTAATGTGTCAGGACTCTTCAGGTTGCTCCATGGACTGGCAGCCTGTGCTGTGTTGTGGTGATGTTTTAGACATGGTGTATGTCACACACCACATGCCTTTGGGTTTTCATCCAAATACTTCGTAGTCCAAGGCACCTCCCTTCCTGGAAAGCCCAAACTGCGCACCGTGTGCAGAAGGCAGGAAGGCGCGCAAGACCACTGGTGTCTGAGGTGCTGGCAGTAACCGGGAGCAGAGGAGACACGACATGCAGCCAACAGACCACCTCCAACCTTGCACGGACGTTTTGAGAAGCCGCTGGGTCCTTCGCCAGCTGGGTACCATGGGCGGCAGAGGTCAAGCCCAGATGTGCTGTTGGGCCTTGGGCATGATCCTGCTGCCTCTCCCCATGGTGGCTTGGTGGTGACAGCGGGTTGGCTGGCTCTGTTGGGAGGGACACATGTCGTGCTGCTCAGCTGTTTACAGGTGTGACCCTGGGCTTGCAGGCGTTTGGGGTGTTGTAGTAGCTGGTTCTGGAGCAGATGTCTTTGGGGAGGCTTGACCAAATGACTCTGACAGCTCTGCATGCGAAGCTCTGGGTCAGGGAGCGGGTGTGGGGCTGAAAATGAGGTGTGGCATTGGCTTGCCCAGAAGGCAAAATTACAGGACATGAGAGATTTGCTTCTGGACACATGCTTGGTCTGGGTCCAGAAATCACCATTTTCCCTCGTGAGGAAGCTGTTTCATTGCTGTAAGCATGTTTTGATGCTTTTGTCCCAGATCTGCAAAGCACACAAGCTCATCACACCTTGCAGCTCTCCCACCCTTCCATGTGGGCATTAATCCTTGTTTTACACCCAGAGCAGGTAACAAGAGGGTTAAGAAACAACCTCTAGTGGCCAGAAATTACATGTGGAAGCTCCAGTTTGATACCCTACTGCAATCCTTGGGAAACTCTTTGGAGCTGGGATTGTCCCTTCATTTGACACATCTGTAGGACCTCCCAAAAGGGAGCTGTCATTGTGAAGGGGCCATACGGGCACCAAGGCTGGAAGTGAGCCTGGCTTCAGGGAGTCTGGTTGCCATCACAGGAGAGTGTCCCTGCTCGTTGTTCCCTTCTGTAGGATCACTCCTTCAGCTTGTGGAGCTGGAGCCTGACGCATGGCTGGTGGTTGTGCGAGAGCATATATGGGCATAGCATATATGTGCACTGTCATGCGAAGAGGCTGATGGTCATGGTGGCAGGTTCTCTGCAGAGGACTCATTGCAGGAGTGAGGGTGATGTGATCTGATGCCGTTGTCCCCACCCCACCTTTGTCAGTGATGTAATGGGGGGTTTAAATACCCTTACAACCTTTCCTCTGCTGCCTGGCGTGGCCTCTGCATCAGGGACAGGCAAATACAGCTTTGTCTGTTAGAGGAGTGATAGTTTTGGCTTGCTGTGGCACGAATGACATGGCCTCCCCAAGGTAATCAAATCTCAACTCACTGTGAATCACACGTTGCTGGCAAGACAAAGTTGCCTTGTCTCTGGGTGGTAAAATGGGTTTTTTGTGCATTGTGAATATGTGCACATTTTGCTTTCCTCAAAATAGCCCTGGTTTCCCTGGAAAGCTGTTAGCCATGGGTTTTTGAGACATCCTGGTGCTGAGAGCTGACAGCCTGTTTTGTTGTGCTGGGTATAAGAGGCTTTTCACTCCCCATCTCAGCTGTCCTGGGTTCTAGTGACTTTGACTGCTCAGCTTGACCCAAGAGTACCCCACTGTAAGGTTAATTCTCCAAACTAGACTAAACAAAAATAGTGAATTTTAGTTTCCCTGCCTTCTTTTGGGTTTTTTTAGCCTTAGAGTTAAAACTTTCTTTGTTAGGCTGCTGAAAGTGAAGCACATCCCTCATGCAGGGGAGGTGGAAAAAATCTGGAAATTATTAAGATTTACAGAAATGCTGACCTGAAAGTTTGTGCAAGGTCCAGATTTATGTACAAAGTACCCACGTCAGGTGGGCTCCTGGTGGTGATTCGGTACACACGTGAGCACTGACTCAGAAATGCCGACGTATTCCCCCTCGGAGAAGCCCCGCGGCACATCCCTCTTTGCCAGCATGTGTCTGACATCCCTGCTGCCTCCAGGGTGTTACCCTCACGGTGGCTGTGGGATGGTTACAGCCATCTCCATCCCATTCCCCATGGAGGAGAGGGCTGGCTTCTTGCGGAAAACCTGCCTTGGCCCCTTTTTTTCCGCTTTTGCAGGCTCTCTTGGGGAAGAGGCAGCAGCCAAGCCCCCCTCCAGTCTGCTAACATGGTGCTTGACCTCCCATGGCCGCGTTCGCCCCGTTTGGTTATGGGATGGTGCGCGGGCAGCCTCCGCAGAGCGCTTCACGGCCTGACGGTGCTGAATGGGGAGTGTAAAAACCCACCCGAGGTGCTGGCGGGGGGGTCATGCAGTCTCTTCCCAAGGGATGGCAGGGTGGGGTGGGGACTCCTGGTCAGGTCTCTTGCATGTCATCCCTCCCAGGGAAACAGAGTCTCTGCTGGATAACAGAGAGTATTTTTGCCTTCGATATGGGGTATATTTGTTTACAAAGGCTTAGGAATTATTTTTCTTTCCTACTGGTGACTTTTTCTTCCCCTTTAAATCCCAGTTAAAACTTCTTTGCAGCTTGCTGCCATTCCCTTTATGTCCTCATGTGCTGTGAAAATCATAAATTACGCCAGTCTTTCAGAGAGCAGCGGTAGGCTGTTTTGTGGTTGCAAAAGCTAATTACTGGGTTATTGTTTCTAACGGTGCTAATCCAAACTTCATTTTCCTGTTAATTGTCCGTCGAGCCAGGCTAGATTGTTTTCATCATCCTGACTGTCTGCAGCACGAGCGGCTGCGAGGTGTAACCAATGCCGCCGTGGCATTTGGAGTGGTGGCGAACCTGGAAAAATGTGGTTGTGAAATGAAATGACACACTTCTGTGCTCACCCCCGGTCATTTGGCTGGAGAAATTAGATTGGCATACTCCCATTAAATGCCCCTCTGATTAAAAATAAGCAAAGGACAGTTTCAGAGCTATTGCTGAGGTGCCGTAGCAGCGTGCGGGGCAGCGGGGAGGGATGCTGATGCTGGTGCTCGGCATTTGGGGCTCGCTGTGTCCCTCGGGGGCGATTGATGGAGAGAGGAGGTAGCAGCAGGCTGCTGGCTGTGGGCACCGAGGTTTCGGGGGGGACACACAGCCCAATTACACTGAAACACACTGTTAGGGCTCACACTCAGGCTCCAAAGGCTTTGTCCCCACGGGACAGTGATGGAGCTTGGCACTGGACACGCACACCCTGCGCAGTCCTCATCCCCAGCCCTGCTCCAATGGCAGCACTTCAGCATGCGAGCGACAGATTCATGATGGGAAGCTTTCTGTTCCCTTTTCTTTTTGTTTTTGTCTTAACATCAGGGTCTGGGAACCCTACGGGGCACCGTGGTGCTCATCATTGCACTCCCAGTAGCGTGTCTGCCCCATCACGTGTCCGTGGGAGCCAGTGGGTGTGTGGGGGACAGGGTGTGTGGAGGTTGGGGGTCCCACTTGGAGGACACACCGGTCCTCGCCACAGCTCTTAGGGGGATATTTCCCAGAGAACTTGGTACCCCGACAGCACTGAAGATGAGACGGAGGCAATCGCTGGCCCTGTTATGGCTGTGCCCAAGTTTTGGGATGTCTGGAGAGTGGGTGTCTTCACCACCTCTCTTGCTCACCCGTTTGCCCTGTTTCCCTTGCACAGCAGCATCCAGCCTGTGCACACACACCTCCCTGCTCCAGCCATCCCTCGTCCCTCTCTGCCCTTCTCCCGCTGCCTCCTCCAAGGGCCCAAATACTTCTTGGCAATAAAGCAGCAAAAGATGAACTCCAGAAGAATTTTGCTCCAAACTTCACTGAGCTGGGGCAATTTGTTTGCAAGAAGTATGTGTTTTGGCAGCATTGGCAGTGTCTGAGTATTGTAGCTTCGGGAAGTGTTGCAAGCAAGTAAATACGGTCTGCGGAGGTTTGCAGCAGAAAGGGGAGGAGTAGGTGGTTTTGTTTAAAATACTCCCATTACAGTCAGTTAACCTTTATGTTACCTAAATGAAAATTGTATAAACCTGAAATTTTCGTTGATCGGGTTGCCTAGGAACAGGCGGTTGGTTTTCATAAGACAATGAATACACAGTCACTGATGGGGCTGTTAGGCACAGAGACGTTGAGCCGTGTTATCCTACGTCCCCGGGTTTGCCTGGGGCAGTCGCCTGCTTGCACACGGGGCGCACGCCCACCTTTGCCTGCTTGTGCGAGTGATGGAGGTGACATGGGAGACACGACCTCTTAGTCCTTCACGGCACGCAGCCCCATTCCTGAGCCCCTGCATGCAGCTGGCAGTGCCACGGCCGGGACAGGAGCACTGAGGGCAGTGGGGCTGCCTGGGCCACCTCGTGTGCTGGGAACAGGGCCCTGGCATGCAGCACCCTTGCTTGTGCTCCGATCTGGCCAGGCAAGGGCTAGGGAGAGCATAAATCTGCCAAGAGGATCAAGGAACTGGTTGAAGAACAGTTAGAGGCATAAAGCTCAAACCACTGGATTCAGCCCGAGACCCTTACCCTTAGACCAGCAATTCTCATTGTGCAATCCCTACGGGTGGGGCAGGCAGCAGCTTGGGGCATCCCACACCCCGTGCAGGGCTACGCTGCCTGTCTGCTCATTTTGCTGTTGCTCAGAGCAGGGTTTGAGGTGTAGAGCCTTAGAAACGGGATGGGGTAACTCTGCTTAGCTCCTGACCAGCTCACCAGCGCGGCTGTAGCACTGGTGCAGAGGGGAGCGAGGGGCAGTCTGCTGGGGTAGTGAGTCGTCAGTGCTGGAGAACATGGAGAAGTGCTTTATTTCTCCCTTTCCCATCCAAAAAGAGGCTGAGGACCACCAGCCGGTGCTGGGACTGGTCCTGGGTGTCCTGCAGCATGCTCGGCTGGGTCGCTGCCTCCCACAAGGTGTTGGTGGAGGCTTTCGGTGTGGGTCAAAGGGCATTAAGCAACTTCGAACGGCAGCGGGCGTAACTGGAGGTGAAAGAATGCAGATCATTTATTAATAGGGTTTACAGAAATTTTCTCCTGGGTAGAAATATTGATTCTTTATTCCTCTTCTAAAAGGAGCTTTTTGTAATGATCACCGAGAGTCATTCTGTGTTATTGATTGCAATAGAGCTGTGCTGGAGACCCCCCTCCATTCATTCCACGCCCGCGAGTACCATCGAGAGGGAGCACAGCACAGGTTTTCCTTTCAGGAACACAGCAACTTCTTAAATCAGCATTTCCGTCATCTTTACAGTGGGGTCTTGCTATGTGTGTTTAAAGAGACATACACGTTTGCTCTTTTAAATCCATTTACGCTATTCTTAAAGTTCACCTTTGAGGGGGAGGCGTTGTGGGGAGGCAAATGCTAAAAATAAAACTTCCCCCTTAAGTAGATCAGTTCTGCATTTGACATTTACATGGAATTCATTTGCATCTCATTTGTACATGTTTCTGCTCAATAGGTAGAATGTAAGAAAGCACAACCTAAAGAAGTGATGTTTCCACCAGGGACGAGAGGAAGGGCACGTGGATTACCGTATACCATGGACGCTTTTATGCTAGGGATGGGAATGTTGGGTAAGTGCCGTAGCCACCGCACGTTTCCCAGAGCCAGTGGCTCCCGTGTTGTCTCCCTGATTTCTGAACGCTTAAGCCATAGGGGTGAGCAAATCCCTGCACCTGTGTGGGTGCGAGTCTAAAACTTTAGCAAGGGTGGAGTGGAGAAAATAATCCTGTCTGTGGTACATGATTAACTCCCCCCTCCTTCCTGGAATATAAAAATTTGCATTTAAATGGATGTTTTAAATAGCCTGTTTTACTCGCAAAAATAGAATGATGAAAGATGCAGTGTGTTCATTCTGACTAAAAATGATCTCTCCCCTTTTTTAGAGGAATTGAGTCACACATTTTTTCCTTCTTTTAAAGGTATCTTTGACAGTTCAGCACAGATAATTGAAAATCTTGCTGGTTCTTAAATGGCATGCTGGAGAAAAGCAGGGAGATGCCTAAGAGTAGGTCGCAACAATAATTACAAGTTTGAAGGAGATGGAACAGTATTTTAGTCCAGAGTATTGTGTCTGGAAAATACTAATTAAACAGGATAAATTATATTTAATGGCGAAGTTCTGTTTGTGCATGAGGTCTGTTTAGTTATAATTGGTTCTCATTTGTTTCTGCCTAGATAGTTCTTCTTTCTGTATAATGTGACAACCTCTTGATACTCTGTCCTCAGATTTACTAAGCCAAAATGCTGCTGATCCATTGCCGACATATTTTTGTAAAACACCATGTATTTTCAGCTTTCTGCTCTCCTTGTTTCACTGTACTATCCCTCGGTTGTCACCTGCTGTAGCCCTAAAGCATGCATGAACGCAAGAGCGTAGGGAGGTGTTCCCCAGCAAAAACGAGCCTTTCCTGGGCTAGCATCCCTGGTACATGGCCTCTCTGGGACACTTAGAATTTCCTGTCCTGAGTTTAGATGATCCCAGAAACAGCACAAAAACCAGCCTTTAAAGCTGGTGTCTAGTTGTCCTGAGCTCTGCCAAGCTGCTCCATGGGCTGTCTGAGATGCTGGAGGACTCCAAGGCTCAGAGGACTCGGTTTCTGTGAGCATCAGGTGGTTCTGCTGCGGTGTCTGACTTGAGGAACCTCTTGGTTTGATAGGGAGAACTTTCCTGCCATGTTTGCTTTACCTCTGAATTAACAGTGCTTGTGTTCATGTGGCTGGACCAATCCGTTTCTGGGATGTGTAATTCGGCTATTTCAGTTGACTGTCTATTTTTCTGTCCCCACACTCCACCGCCATCCACCCTTTGGTGTTTGGAAATCACATTTTATGGTTAAAATATTTATTTTGTTCTAAACAGTCTGCGATTTTGTTACCTGCCTGTGCCCAGTGTGCTTGAGCACTTTATTTCTGCGGTTTCTCTCCTTTCCGCTTGCGGTGCCTGAGGTTTGGGGTGGTGGAGGTGGTGCATGCCTCCTTGCTGCCCCGTCTCAGCCGGCTGCTGGAGGAGAGAGCCCAGGTCACCCTGGGCAGGTAAAACCACCCAGGGCAGCACCCCTCTTCTGCTCACCGCGGGCAGAGCGGCCTCAACCCTTCTCCTCGCAGCCGGGCAAGGAGTGAATGGAGTCGGGGTCCACCCCAGTGCCCTGAAGGGAAAATTCAGCCCTCGGGTGCAGGGTGGGTCGTTCCCACCTGGGCTGCCTCTCTGGAAAAAGATCGTTTCAAGCTGTAAGAAGTAAGAGAAGATGCCCCCAAAGAGCAGATCTGTGTCTGCACAGAGCAAGCGATGCAGCTGCCTGTTGGCAGATCCCCGTCCTGCTGCGGTGGGGTGGGTCAGGTCACCCCGACCGGCTCTGCTCCGGCCGGTCTCGCAACATGCTCTTATTAGATTTCAAACCAGGGTGACTTGCTCAGAATTAATGATTGATCCGTGTTGAAGGCCAGATGCTTCATTATCTGCTCTAGCTGTTTTTTCATCTTCCAAGTGCTACGGTGGCACCGTGTTGAATAATTAAGTGCTAAACAAGGAAATGGCAACACGTGAGAGCCAGGCTGGATGGATGGCCATTATAAATCCCGGTTTTCAAAGGCTGCCTGTAAGAGTTGGCTTCAAGGAGGCTGATGGGCAGCAGCTCAGCGGGAGGCCCGAATCTCTCCTTCCCAAGCCCCAGCAGCTGCGCAGCAGAGGGGCCCGTCCCCGCGGGGAAAGGGGCATAATTAACCCATCAAACGACGAGGCGCACAAAGTAACGTACTGCCGGAGGCGGTGTCTGCAGGAGCCAAGTGTTTTGCTGAGATCTCAGGAGGCTGGTCTCAGCCCTACCCTATTCCTCCTTTTAGATGCCTCGCTGGGCTGAGACAGAGGAACTGGGGCTGCTCTTGAAGGATTTTTATACCTGTTTCCAGAAGCCCTTGTTCAAGGTCACCTTCTCCAGGTGCCGTTCATGGGCAGAGGAGGGAATCGGAGGAACGAACGCACCAGACAACCCAAAGGAAAGAGCAGAGAGCGACTCCCTCCAAAGCTATTAAGGAAGTTGGTCTTTTTCATTAATCACAGCCTCCCCAAGGAGCCTGCAGCAGCCAGGGTCTAAAGGTGCGTAGGCAGCCGCTTCTGTGATGATTTGGTTGATTGGAACAAAATTAAAGTGTTCTGAAAGGATTTTTTTGACTCCACGAGCAAGCACAGGCTGAGCCTTTTGCCAGGAATGCTTCTGGGCTCTCTCGGGCTCGGTCTGCTGGTGGGACACGCACAGTCTCAGGGGAAATCAGGGACATTAATTAGCCACTCTGCATAAGGAGCAGGCTGGAGTGGTTTCAGTTCCAGTCATCTCCCTCCCTGGCAGCCCACCCGAGAAAAAGAGCTGCTCCCTAGCCCCAGGGATGCTCGTGAGCAAGCATCATGCCCCCCAGCAGGCAGCACACACATCTGCAGCTGAGCAGGAGCAGTTTGGTGGCCAAGGATCTTGCCGTGCACCCAGAAGCCTCGCCTCTGTCTCCTGTTGTGCAAACCAGCAGCCCTGTCACCCAAGGGCATGCAGGTGTCACTGCATTGCCCCACGGCTCTTTGCCCGCCCTTTAGGTCTGTAACTGGAGAACTTGAAACAAAAGAAGAGAAGAGAGCAGCAGAGGAGCAGCATTCGTAGCAGGTCGTCTCTGTCTGCCCTCCCATCTGCAGCAGCTCTGTGCATCTGGGACGTGGCAGCTGCCCTTGGGGTGGTCCCAGCAGTGATGCCCGGCTCTGGAGGTGACTGCTGTGCCGTTTGAGCTGAGCCGGGGCCTCGCAGCGCTCATGGCGACGGGCATCTTAGACTTGCTGGTGTTTAATATTAAAGTTGGGCTCTTTTTAACTTGCAAAACCCTCCAGAGACAGCTCGGCCCATAACGCTTATCCCCCTAGACTGCCAAAAAGATGTCTGATCTGAACACCAGATCTCAGAAAGTCTCCAGCAGGCTGCTGATAGCACCGCACAAGGCAGAGCAGGCTCTGCATTACTGCACACGTTCAGTCTAGGTAGGCTGAACTCATGCATAAAGAAGCTTGTGCCCTTCAAAGAAAGTCATTCCTTTTTTCCATCAGACTTTGTTTAATAGAGTAGCAGCTGCCTCTGAGGTGGGATTCAGGAAGGGGAGCCCTTGGTTAGCACAGGCTTCCCGGGAGGCTGGCACGATTTGCCAGAACCCCCCGGGGGCTCCTGCAGCAGCCCCCACCTTAGCCATCGCTGATGAACGCGGCTGCAGCCAGCGTTAGCTTAGCTCTCTAATTTCTCTGAAGCAGGAGACAGGTCAGCTTTGTTGGACCAAGGAAGAAACTTCTACAGTAGGTGTGTTTCTTCCCCGTAGCTGCTCCCTAGTATGTGACCCGACCACCTCTGTGCCTGTGTTTTTATAAATCACAACCGGATTTTTGGTTTGCATTCCCTGATGCCACAGGTTTTTATGTCAGGGTCTTCTGAGCAAGCCCCTGAGCGTTTCTGTTGCAGCGTGCGGCAATGCTTTGGCAGAAGGACCGTGCCTTTTTTTGCAAAGGACCTGGTGTTCCTTGTTCTGGGCAAGACTGGGAGACAACCATTTTCATGCATTTACTGGAGCATTTGAATTAATTTTGCAGACGTCCCCAGGCCCCAGCATGCTCAGTGTTCCCACATATTAACCATGACCTTTGTCCATCTCAGATCACCAAATTTAAAGATGAAAGGACATTTCTATAGCCTGACTCAGTGGTTGTGGACAATTCCCTGCTTGGAGCAGAGAAGCCGTTTCTCCTGCTGGAGATGCTGGTGGGATGGAGGGGAGTCAGGAGTCCAGCTTAGGTCTCCTGCCTTTCCTGTGACCCTGTGCGTATGCCGTGGCAAGCTGCTGGGTCTCGAGGGCCACGGTTACCCTGTGCAGAATGGAAGTTAGGGCAATTTGCCCAGTTTCCCCTCTTGTAGAGTATGCCTGCAGCACTCGGGCTTTTGCATGGGCCCACCAGAGTGGGCTTTAGCACCAGGAATGCTGGGATGCCTTCAGGGACACTAAGTAAAAAGGTCAGTGTTACCTTTTTCATCCTGGAAGCAGAGCATTTGCCTTTCCCTGGGAGACATCCCGACACTGAGTGGTTGCTGGCACGCTGCGATGGTAATGGACCCATGGCTGCATGGGTCTACCAAGAGCAGGACAGCCGGCTTAGCGTGGTGCTTCCAGCAGCCACTGCTCTCTCCTCGCAGGCCAGGGCTGCCCATAGAGCATCCAGCGCAGGGCAGGACCTGGTCTGCTGCGCGATGGGGCTCTGCAAGGCTCCAGCACGTGGGCTGGATGTTTACCCAGCCCGCAGGGTGGCTGCCTTGGACCTGCTGATGTTGATGTCGGAGACAGGAACTGATTGGAAATGGTGGTGTGAAAGCAGTTTTGGTTGTTGGTTTCAGTTCTGCTTCCACGGACAGGAGGGTCTCGCTTCAGAGGAGGTAATCCAGGCAAAACTTAGATTTTTAGTTTAGTAACAAGGGATAATTAGAGATTGATCATTCCCCAGGACTACTGAAGCAAATAAACTGTTTGGTGCCCAATGCAGGATGAGAATGGCATCTAATGGAAATGGTGGGTAGGTCAGCATGGCCATAATTTGGCTTGATGAAGCATCTACATGGGCATGGTGTTAATGCGCTATTGATATTCAGCCAGGCAGTTTCCCCTGCACGGATCGGGCTTTGACTCGTTAGAGCGGAGCTGGGCACTGCAGCAGTAAATGAAGAGGAAAATTGAAGTAATGTTGTATTATAAATTTATGATTTCATCTGCCTGACCTAGAGAGCGTTGAGCACTGGCAATGCAGGCAGGAGCCCCACAGGCAGCTCCGCCGGTGCCGCTGCCATTGGGCATGGCCGGGTTTGGCCAAGGAGAATGGGGCTGCATGCTGCCCTGGGCTCAGAGGCAACCACTCCGGGACAAGCATCCCCAACCCCACAGAGCATCCCCAGGGCAGGGCAACGGAATACGCAGCATCCGGCACCGACTGCCAACTCCAAAAACACCGCAGCTGCCATTCACCACCGTGCTGGTCCAGCCGGAGCCACGGGGACTGTATCTGCAGCCCCGCTCCCGAGGGCAGACGTGAGGCATGGCCCAGCACATTGGTTCCCTGTGGCCCAGATGGCCCCAGGCCAACAGATCTGCTTCAGAGCTGTTCGAATTGGAATAAAACTTAATTTATTCCAGTTGGCAAGGAGAAGGGCTGTGGTCAGACACCGCAGTGATTTTTCATGGTGGAGCTCTCAGGGTGTTAATGGCGCTACTTACTTAGCAAACAATCCATTTATCAATATTGTTGTTTTAAAAAAAATAGGAAAAAAGGTTTGTAAAGCTTAACTCTGAAAGATCTGATTTAATGACAGAGGTGATTAATTTCTAAGGGAATCCAGCTGTTGAGCTGTGAAATAAATACACGAGGGCTAAGCAGTGTGTACATACCGCTGAGAGCTGCAGCGTGCTGTCCGGGGATCGCAGGGCTGCTTTCCCCTGGCACTGCCTAATCCCATAATCAGAATTCATCCAAGCATTTTTATCTTCCAGTTTTAGATTATGATTAATAGTACATTATACGTATATATAAATCTAATCAGAAAAGGAGGGACTTGCTGCAGCAGAAAGATAGCTGTGTGATGTAGGACGATACTAAAGAACAAATAAAAGCAGAGATGGGACACCCCCAGAACCATTCGGCTGCTACAACTGTTTTCAGGGTCCAGCCAAGCTGCTGCTGTTGTCACTGCTGAGATTTCCATTGACTGATGGAGGGACAGTGAACTTCTGTGATGTTTTCTGGATCTGGAGAGGTCTTTCCTGGAGGCTGGAGGAGTCTGGGCAGGCTGGCTGACCCTGACAGTCCAGGGGAACGTTGTGCAGCATCTCTTGCACTGGAGTTGCAAAGGGTAATTCCTGTCTGTAAGAAGACAAAGCAAGGGGATGCTGGGGATCAGAAGTGAGGTACAATTTTAGGATAACTCCTTAGTGCTCAGGACAACTTGTGGCGTTGGTGAGCAGCCACGGTGGGACCGAGAGGACAGCGGTTGAGCATGAAGGCTGGGAGATGAAAACACAGTAGGAGGGGATCCCAGGGTGTGAATTTGGCTGACCCCTTGGCTGCTGGCAGCCCACGCACGGTTTGGGGACTAGATTGAAGTCAAGCAGATACACAAACTTTCCTGCTGCCTGCAGAGTAAAAGCCCTCTCCCCTGGCCTGGGTGCCAGTTAGGCGCTGTGGTCCTGGCAAGGCACGTGTAAGGCGGGGAGACCCTTGGCCGAGCACCTGCGGGGCTGACAGCTGTGGTATCTCTGCCCACCCAAGCACCCTCCCGCACCCACTGCCTCCCAGGGTGACCCTCCTCCGGCAGTCCCTTTCACTCCCAGCATTAGCGCTGGCAGAGTTGCTGCGCAGTGCATTGACTTCAGCAACTTCCTTAAGAAAATGATCTCGAGGGGTACTTTGGTCGTGGTGAACTCCAAAAGCTGCCGGAGGGCGGATGCGTTCCTGCGCGTACCTCAGACAGAGCTGGGGGAAGCGGTTCTCACACCTAGGGCTTGCTTCCCTGAAAAATTAAAAGCTCTTTGACCCTCCGTCTCATTGCTGTTGCTGCCTCTAACTCTTTGATGTGTTAACTGTTGTCCTTCACACTCCTGGGATAAAGAATTACTACTACCTTAATCTCCAACTGTCAATAGCTCTGAAGCAAAGTACATTCATTGTAAGCTCTCCAAATGTCAGAGCAAACCGGTGTTATGTGTTTAGCCTTAGCATTTGGCATTTACTCTTCCAGCTAACAAGTACGCACAGTCCTTGGACTTCAGATACCAAAGTGCATGTTAATTACCTGAGTGACAGGTCTCATGCACAAAGCCAGGCAGGCAAGCTCTAGATGCTTCTGTTCGAGATAATCATGAAACTTTCTGCAGTTTTGCATGAGCAGAATAAATCTTGGGCATTAATAACCTTCCGTAAAATCAAGTCTCACACATCCTCCGTGTCATTTTGCATTATACTTAAAAACAAAAAGCCTTTACTAATCTTCAAATTTCTCTTTCTCTCTCTGTCTCTCTCTGTCTCTCTTTTCTTTTTTTCCCACGTTTCTGTGATCAAGGTTACCCGAATTTTGTTGCAACATATGGCCGAGGATATCCTGGATTTGCCCCCAGCTACAGCTATCAGTTCCCAGGTACGTACTTTTCATTTGCAGATTTACTTTTCTTTCCCTCTTTCCTTCTTTTTCTTCTCTTTTTTTTTTTTTTTGACCTTTTTTTTAAATCCATAGCTGCAAGCTGAGACAGGCAAGTCTGCAGGGAGCATCTCACAACTACAAATTTTTTTACTGTTTTAAAATAGATATTTATATATACATATTTTAAAGCCATTTTTACTAACGTGTAAATTGGTACTGGTTATTTGAAAACAAACTTCTTAAATTAAAACATAAAGCAACAGAGATCATGTAAGACCTATTGCCCTCCCTTTGATGGGTTTTTCCTTTCATATATGTATTATAGAGATATACACAGACACACACACGCGCACAGAGACTCGCACACACGTCCCCATACCATCCTCCGGTAAGTGTATCCTCATGACGAGCGCAGTCATGGAGTGAAAAGTCCAACTTTCCTGTGTTCTCTATCGGTATCTCTGGTGTCCTTCACTGAAATAGTTTCTAGCCGCGTGTCGATGGTTCAGTTTGGCTTCGGTTTGGTTTCCCCCCTTTCCTTGGTGCAGCTGCCAG